CTCATTTTGGAGCTTTAGAAAGCAGGCATTCTTTATTTACAGCGCCGGATGCACGGGGGATACTTCCACCTAACATGCATACCGCACAACCAAAGACATACAATTTATGTAGGACAGAAATATACATATTCATTATATTTCTTGGAAAAGGTGGTCTTAGGATAATGAATCCTCAGAACTGATTTACATATTCTCTCCCCAGGTGCACACGCTCGGTGATTTGGGTCGTTGGTCCTTGGGGGTCCCTAGTGGTCTTCATAGAGGGGTCTTTCAGTGCCCTTTCCATGAACTCCGGATCCTTTTCCCATGTATAATCATGAGTTGGCTCACTGAGCAGCTTATCACAGCTTTGCTACTATATGTGCTACTCCTGACTGGTTTCTCTGCACTTATCTTGGGTGATGATGCTCCTAGTTCTTCTGACCTTGGTGTCTGCTGGTTTCAGGCTGTGATTTAAAGAGCTTGTTCAAGGTTTGTTAATCTTGTAATCAGTACAAAGATACCATTTCAAAGAATCTCTAAGCAAGTCCACAGTTTCTCCCCGCTGAGACTTAATCACAGGCTGAACTTCTGATGCAAAAGTATAGATCTTACATTCTGTTATCACCTCTATCTCCAATCCAAACCCGTGCATATTGAGCCACTGATTAAAAACGTGCTCCCAGAGCACTGCCATGGCACCTGGGCCCTGCTGCAACTCTCACACTGCTGCTACCTCACTCTCCGCTGCGTGGAGGCGGGGCGGAGGGTCTGCCCGTGGCAGCCCAGGCCTTGCCTGTGGCCTTGGAGAAGGAGGTTGAGCCTCCTCCGGCAGGCCTCTGCCCTGGGCTGCCATGTTGTAGCTTATCCTCAGGAGAGCACCCGCCCTGGGCTGCAGCGGCCTCCCACCACCCCAGCTGCCAAGTCTCCCCAGCAGGGAAGGGGGGCACAGAGCCCATATATACACATGTACGTAGCCTAGCCAGCTGCTTTGGGCTCTTGGAAGAGCTGGCCATGAGCACACGCACGGAGCCTACCCCTCAGGCACCGTGCAGGGTGGTATGGGGTACGTACAGGGCAGATGGCGCGGCTCATCCTGGCGGCGCATTTGGTTCGCCCCCCTGCAACTTTACTGCACAGTGGCAATGGTGCTTCTGTGCTGGTAGCCACAGCGTTGCTGCCGGGGTGCTGTTTTGGGCACTTTGTGTGTTGCCAGCACTCCTGTGGTTTAAACCCTTCCCTGGGATCATACTGGTGAAGCCTAACCCTGCCCCACAGGCTCACCCCCCGGCAGGCACGGCCTACAGCAGCGCCATGCCCGTCAGCAGCAGCAATGGGCATTATTATCTTCACTCTATAGGGACTTGCTCGGTGACTACTCGGCATTATTATCTTCCCTCTATAGGGAGTTGCTCAGAGACTACTACTGAGAGCAGAATGACATATCACAGTAAATAAATAGCCGTGAAAACTCATCCACCCCAAGAAAGCTGTGTCTCCTCAGGGCGGGCTCCCCTAGGTACCCCTCTCTCCCCGCAGGCAGCCCATGTTTGCAACAGGCCCAAAATGCCAGGAGGTCAACTGGTCTCCCAGCCTTTTTGTGAGGAATCTGGGGGGGAACACTCCCACCAGGGTCCCAGCCCCGCCCGGGGGGAAGTGCTCTGCCTCGGCTGTGCTCCAGGAGGCCGAGGCCTGCACCCAGGTGTGGGCAATCGGCGCTGTGGGCAGCCCTTCCCCTCCCAGCGGGGCAGGCAGGCAGTGCTGGAGGCATCCGGCCACCTTTCCAGAGAGGCTGCAGTAAATGGTAACTGTCTTGTTGAAAATAATCACAATTTTGTAACAGGGGCTTACTTTTCTCACAGGAAGGTGTTAATGTGGAAGTCTCTGGGAGCACAAGGACAATGTATCTTGAGCTGTAAGGTTTGCATCTCTGCGTGTTGCCATTTGCGTCTCCTGAGCTTCACAGGAGAATGAGAAGTGAGGAGGATCTCAGGCCTATGCCTGTGATCTCGCCCCTTGAATTTTTGACTAACCACTGGCAAATATTAAATGAGGTAGGCAGACAGGCAGGCTCATTACTAGCCTCAGTTATTTGTTAATTTATAGCAAGCTAAGAACAAGTTACGGTTGCTCTTAAAAATGAAATATACTTCTTGAACGCCTACCTCCCCACCTTCTCCCTATTTACTTTCTGTTGAAAGTGTCTTTTTTGGTGTAGAATATTGAATACATTCTTAGCTTTTAAAATGTAGCTTACACTGATGCCAAAATGTTCTGGTTTCTTGCTGACTTTTAATAATAAGTTTTTCTTCAGAAGCCAAAAGGCTCCTGAGAATAAACAAATTCCAAAGTATTAATATTTGGGTTTATGTCTGGCTAATGTTAATCTTTTGTACTTTCCCACAAATACTGATTGAGTGTTGTATCTGTCACTGCCACTTTGGGGTAATTTGTATTCTGCCCTCACCCTCCTATTTTTTTTTTTATACATATTTTCTGTGCCTTATGTGGAATGACCAGAGCAAGTTCTTTGATGTTCACATGCATACCTCTGTCACATAAGTATGCCCATTTTGGTGATGCTCTTTCCCATATAGACCAGAAATCCTAGTCAGAATCCAGGCTTGGTTAGGATGCCACATAAAGAAGGACTATCTAGAAAATGGTTTGGGTTTTATTCTTATAGTTCTTTTGCTTTTAGGATTACAGTTGCAAATTGAAAAAAACTGAATAATTTTTAGTGTAATATATTTAAACTCGGATAGTATCTATGGTTATACATTTATGTGCTTTTTTGAAGAACTTACTCATCAGGATGTGCTGTGTGAAAACTTATAGAAAATAGTGCAGATACATGATTTAAAACGTTATAAGTTTCAAATTTCTAATTAAAAAATGAAGATCAGTCTTTAACTTGACTGTCTTACAACAGCAGCTTTGTCAATGGCTTGGTTTTGCAGCACAATTTGCAGTGTAATTACTGCTGGTGAATTATCGTTAGTTGCAATGGGACTGTGTTGAGTTTGTAATGCAAGTTTACAGAGAAGAAAAGAAGGGGAATGTTTCAGAACTTCACACTAATTCTACATTTCCTTTACGCATTCAGTCCACAGTATCTTTATATTACTTCTGCGCTATGTTAATTGCTGGCAGATTTTAGAGGGAGAAGAGCTTTTAAATGGGGTTGGAAACTACAAGTACTCCAGTTGCAGTCAAGGGTTAGAGCCTTGAGTTATAGTGAGTGAAAATACCAATCAAGGTAGAATTCTATAGTTTCCTCAAAATGTGCTTTAAGTAATTCTTACTGCGTATCCTCAGATGGACTGAAATTCCCTGAGCTTTCAAAAGCCTTTTGCAAGTATGTAGTAATGCCATAAAAGGTAAAATACTGCAACAAATCAGAAACTAAGTAGGATAACAGAAAGAAAAGCAGGAAAATCACTTAACATGCTCTTGCAGGTTTTGCTGTACTAGCTCTTGCTAGTGTATTTATGAATGCTGAGTGCTAAAAATGAGGGGGGGAAAAAATCAATCAATTCATTAGGTAAGTGCAAACTAAAAAAAAAAACCCACTGAGTGTACAAAGGAATCTGGTCAACTTACAACACTTGAGTTCTTGTAGACAGAAGGCTTCTGGTGGCTGAGTCACAGGCCCCTCAGTACAGGACTTACATCAGAGCAGTAAATGACCAAGAAGCACAAGGAAAAAACTATGATAGTTCAAAATAATTTACTTGCATGTATTATTGACAGTGCTATTCTTTACAAACTGGATTAACAGCAATTACTTAACAGTGACCACAGCCCAGATTTGTAAAAGTATTTAGCATACCTTGAAAAAAACACTGTGTGTGGGGGGGTGCCTGCATAGTTTTTAAAGTGTGAATGATATTCTTTTTCTTCTTCTTCTTCTTTCATGTGTATTCAGACAGAGGCAAGCAAGTGAAACCTCTGGTAGGACAAGAATGATACCAAAACTAAGAGTTACCTAAACAAATAGGATACATTTCCCTGGAATGATGTATTGTTTTAAGCAATCTCTGATGTATTGTTTTAAGCAATCTCTGATGAAAGGGAAATTGCTAATAGAGAAGCTCAGAGGTGTGAGGAATAATTAAAGTCTTTCACAGAAACTGAACCTAATAGACCAGGCAGTTTAATCATAAACAGAAATCTATCTAATTACTTCTTGGCTGGTGTTGAACCAAGATAGTGAACTACTGAACTGATCCCACTTGTCAATTTGGCATTCTTATGACCTTTTGTTTCTATTCCAGTTATTTTAAATCTAAATTTTAAAGGTGGAAGGGAGTACCTGTCTGTAGGTTCAGGAAATGTATTTATGAAATATGGATGCTTGTACGTCTAAACCAAAAACGGAGGAGAAGAAGTAACTGATTGAAACTGTTGCACAAACTTCCAAAATAGTTAGCAAGTGACAGTATTTAAATCCATTATTAAATACATAGGGTGCAATAGAGGAATGCTTTACTGTATCCTTTTTCCTTAGTAGCATTTGAATAGTGCTATTTTCCTTGTTTATTTTGTCTTGCTTCATGCCAGATGTTCTTATCAGGGAAAACAATGGTGGTATGTTTTAATATTGATGAGTTGATTCTCCTGGGAATAATAGTATATCTACCTTCTCAGAATACAAATTGTGGGAGGCTTTTTTATAGTGTAATTACCATAATGCACTGAATTTTAAGTGCAACTCTTTAAAACTGTGAAAAGAGTTTTTTGTGTATTATCTTTCTTCTATCTACTTTCAGAGTAACTCTGCTTTTAAAACTATGTATCATGTTTTGGTGGCCTTTAAAAAGTAAACATGTAAATCACCAGAGGTACTATGTAATCTGTCAAAGTAGCATATGCTCAAGCACCTTATAAATTATTAAATAATCATAATATTTCTCTTTCCAAGGTTATTATTGTATTCATTTAAACAATTGCAGAACAATTGCAGACTAATTAAAGTACCTTGCTCTAACTTTTTTTAAAATTTTTTCCTCCAGGAACTTGAACATTGAAGTCCTGAAATTATAAATGATTTGGTGACAAGCCGAGCTTGCAATGCAGGCAATAAAAACCGTGGAAAAAGAAGTGACTTTTATAAAGGAAATACATTTCACAGAAACCTTCCTAAAGAAAGAAGAGTGCAGCAGAAGCCTGGAGAGCAGGCGGCTCTGTGAGCAGCAGCCATTGGAAGGAGCTGTCTGCAGCTCTCAGTGCTGTACTGAGCATGTCCCAGCGGAGCCCAGTGCAAGCAGCACATTATGCAAAAAGGCAGCTCTAGCAGATGGGAGAGAGGCACAGCAAGCATTTGCTTCACTTGCATCACCACCGCTTGAAAACAGACCTGGATCGCTAGAGGGGATCTTGCCGGCAGGCCAAAGGAATGAAATTCGGGAGCATGGCTTGATTGCTGAAGGTGTTGCACTGAGAAAAATCATGGGGAATCAAGATGGGAAGCTAAAGAAAAATACAGGTGATGTGCATGAAGGAGGAGAGGATGCCTCTGGGCCCAAGGATACAGACGGCACAAAGAAGGTATCGGGAAGCAGAAGGGGACTGGGGAAGCATGCAAAAGGAAGTGAATCCAGTAAGAAGAAGGGTAAGTCGGACTCGAGGGCCTCGGTGTTTTCAAATCTGAGGATCAGAAAAAATCTGTCCAAGGCTAAAGATGGGAATAGTAGTTCACGGGAGGATGTTTTGGAAAGCCAGGCCTTGCAGGCTGGAGAGCTGGACAGTACTCACTCAATTGTAACCAAAACTCCAGATATAAGCATCTCTGCAGATGAAGGGGGTCTCTCAGACACAGATGTGGAACATTTTGAAATCAGAAATGAAACTGTCCCTGCTGCTGTGGAGACACAGGATGGACAAAGGACCAGCTCTGGCTCTGATACAGATATATACAGTTTCCATTCAGCCACAGAACAAGAGGATTTGCTTTCTGATATCCAGCAAGCTATTAGACTGCAGCAGCAGCAGCAGGGGGCAATTAACATTGGAACTGAGGACCTTGTCACCAAAACAATGGGCCGACACATGGCTAATTCGCAAGCAGCCCCCTTAGATTTTGAACGGTTTCTTTCAGTAGCTACCACTGACAAAGAGAGGAGCCCAGACACTGAGGGGGCTTTTCCAGCGATATCTGAAATTGCAGAAAATGTTCCTGTCTCCTGTGCAACCGAACGTGAACTGAAAGAAGCAGTAAAAGGCACAGGCTCTCCTGGTAATGGCTTATTTGAAACACAAGAACGTAAGCTATTGATTGGGGAACAGGAACAGCTCGTTGCTGGAGTGGATGCTGTAGCTAGTGAACTAGAAGGTGATTTAAATAGAACTGCGGTAGAAAACGGGTCTCAGACACACAGCTCCACAGAACCTTTTCCAACCTTGGTAGCAGATGCTGAGACTGAAATTGCTGAAGTGCAGGATGTTGATTTGCAGGACTCTGTAACAGAGGATGGTATTTCAGATGCAGGCCGTGATCGTGCTGCTGAGACTCAGGAAGGGAAACACGCTCTGTCAGCCAGTCAAGAGGACCTGCATAATGGTTTATCCACGGAAATGAAAAATGGCATTTTGTCCTCTGAGGGGACAGCAGGCAGTCCAATACTGGGTTCCCGATGCTTTAAGCCTTATCTAATTAATCCTTGTTACATCAAAACCACAACTAGGCAACTGAGTTCTCCCAACCATTCACCATCTCCCTCCCCGACCCAGAGCCCGCTTTTTACAAGGAGGCAGGAGTCCTTCCACAAAAAAGAAAAAGTCTCAATCAAGAAGCAGAGGTCTGCTAGTTTGGCAGGTTTATTTAGTCGTTCTGCAGACTGGACAGAAGAGGTATCTAATCACAAATATGAGATAACACAGAAGGTGGGGTCTGCAGGCTACTTGGAGCCCAAGGGGTTTAGAGAGAAATTTCAAACAGAAAGAGTGCCTTTGACTCATTCGAGAAAGTCCTCAGGGGTGCAGGCTTCTACTGAGACATTTCCCAATGTCTTTTCAGGTGAGTGACATGTATTAAAGTATTTTTTTCCAGAAAGTCTTTGAAAAGTTATATAAAATACTTGAATTCAGTTCTCTGCATGTACTATTGTCTTTACTTGTGCTGACAGTTTTAAAATCAAAGGCCTGATTTTATAAACACAGTCACATTTCATTAATGAGAATAGCCTCTCTATTCAGTGTCAGCCTGGCAGTACTGCCAGTAAAGGAAGTGCATTACTCTTTGAAGTTTTTCTTTCTGCTTTTCTCCTTTGACTAAATCCTGTAGGAAAAGGCTGGGTGCCTTAAATTACTGTTCTTGAAAAATGCTAAGAGCTGCACTGTTGTAGGCAGACTAGCTCTCTGCATAAATAGACCCTTCAGATGTGAAGCTTTCTGTAACTGGGATCCTGTTTGGGGTTTTCTTGTGCTAGGCACTGTTCGGATGTACTGTCAATATTTGAGAGCTGCCTCTGGTATTAGACTGAGGCAGCGATGCGGATTTGCTTAGTACAAAAAGGAAAAAGCCATGCAAGCACAGATGGACAGCACTACAGAAAGGAACAAATTTCCCCTTCAGAAGGGGAAAAGAGAAGGAGAAAAAAAATGTTAATGACTTGAGAAGGCAGCATAAAATGGAGAAGAGAAGGGAAACTGTGGGTAGTACAATTTGGTAGCTGTAGCAGGCTGCTGCTCAGGCTACGTAAGGTGACTAACTCAGGAAAGCATTCTTTTACCTTGCCTGTTACGCAGCTTGCATCCTCTGACAAAGGCGTATGAATATAGAGTTTACAAATGAAATAATGTGAATGGATGGTTATATTTTCCTGCACTTTGAGGGTTTTTTCCCCTTTCTCTTCCCCCTATGTGGAGTTTCTATATAAAGCTAATGTATTCACAAATAGAGAAGGCCTCTGCCACATAGGAGGTATGCATACAAAGGAAACTTAGCAACATATTCCATTTATTTTTCACTTAAGAAAACTGTAGAACTAAGAGAATACAGACAATATGCCCTATGAGCACCCGTTACAGGATTAAAACAGTTGAATCTATAATCAGGTTTGTTTTGAATGGAAGTCTGTTCTAGATGTGTGAGCACTGTAACCATATATGTGCCAAGCTATTTGCAAAAAACACAATGAAAATATTTTGTGCTTTTATGAAAACCTCATAAAATAGTATGATTTATGAAGGGAGCAATGACATAATTTAAAAATCACGTGTAAGAAAACAGTTAAGCTATCAACAACTATTTTGCATAAAAAGACTATCTTGTTTATACTGTAGATTTAAAAAATTGTATAACGTGTAATTGTTTGCATTCATAGTTGCTTTCTTTGTGCACATTCTACTCTGCTTGACATCACAGTAATACTGGTGAATGAACTTGTCTGGAAACAGAAATTAAAATTAGTGGCTTTTTTGCACAGCAGCCAACTGCAGGAGTTTGAAGTACTCAGGTGAAACATTAACATTATTTTCCAGATTCAAATCACAAGAATACTTTCATTCTTCAGTAGTCTCGAACAGAAATCCCCAGTTTCAGTCTTGAAAATTAGAATCCAAGTTTTTAACACAAAAAAGCCAGCCCCCTCTGAAGGAGACCAGCTCCCTCTGAAGTGAGCGGAATCTGTTTTTTATGTTTTAAATCCCTTCCACCTGTTTTCTTAGATTTAATTTCAGACTAAAATCTAAAATTTTACAATTTGAGGTGATCACTACTTTTAGATTTATAGCATGTAAAAAGCTTTTTTTTTTTTGCAATCAACATTTGATACCTTATAAACAACTCAGCGAGCAAAGCTTTAAATTGCATCATCAGTAATTAGACTTCTTTATGGTGGTGCTATGATGGAAATAAATTTTATGTGGCAAACTTCAAGAACATGGAATTACTTTTTAGACACCTGTTTTCTAGGAAATGGACTTCTTCACATTTCCTCACAAGGCTTTGATTTACTTATTAATAACTTTTGTTTTATTGTGTTTTCCCACCAACACTTTAGACTGTTATTGTCAAGGGACCAATGTCCAGTGCAACAGTAGTTCTGTCTCTTATGGAAATTATGGTGACCCTCATTTGCATGTACATACCAGCTGTCTTTACAGGCAAAGGACAATTATACAGTTCAGTTCCTGCAGAAAAGCTTAAAATGAGGGAACTGGAAATGACATGCTAACACTTCATCTCTTTGATCATTCTTCTTATTTTTAAAAATATATTTACAAGCTGAAAATTATCAATAATATAAAAATAACAACTAGTGTACATGCAAAAGGGAAATTAAACTTAACATTAGTATTCCCACAGACTGGCTGTTATTGCTGTAAGAGCAGAAAAGCCTCTATTTAAACCAGTCTGCACAGCAACAATTACAGAAATAATTTCCTTGTAATTTGCATACTGCTTTTGAAAAATGTTGTATTTTAATTGCAAGCATCAGATGCATCAATTGGAGGATTACCATCAGGCTTTTAGAAATAACATTCTTTATAGTGGCTCATTTCTGTCTTCAAAAAGACATCAGCCTTTTGCCTAGAGCATTAAATCCCATCTTACTGTGCAGTGACTGCATTGTTCTGCATTTCTAACTAGAATCAGGTAAAATAGTCCACAACACTTTAGTCATCGATTTTAATGACAGCAGGTTCTATGCAGATGACTGCCCTACTTTTGCACTGTGTTGTGGTTTGGCTGTGTGCCATGGGGTTTTCACAATGATCCATATGAACTCTTCTAAGGCTGTTTTAATGTAAAATGTAGATGGAAGCCAACCACTGGAATGGAATAGACTTTGCATATTTTAATTTTGCTTTATAAGTAAAGTATGGTATTTCAAATTTGATGCGTTGGCTAAGAATGTGGTGTGGACAAATTTATGGGCATTTTGTAATTCAGGCATTGGATCTATCTCTTTTATGATGAGGACAGCTGTATTTGAAATTGCAGTGACAGTAATTACAAGTTCTAGATTACCTGATGCACAGTGGAGCCACGGCTTTTATGTTGTGGTCCCAGGAGGACAAGAGCTGAACCTGAATGAATAGCGTTCGCTCTCTCGCTTCGGTATGTGGCAATGAATGATTTGCACTAACATTAAGAGAGTATCTTGGCGGGAAAATGAAATTGATGTTTCCAAACATTAACATAACTGAAACAGAAGAGCTAATATATTGGGCTAATAAAAAGGAGTTTATGCTAGCATTAATCTGAGGTGCAGTGATTGCAGAGGAGCTAGTAAGGGTGTCTGGTACATAAGCTGAATGTGAGTCCCATCAGCTGCCCCAGATGGTAATTAAACTCGACACAAACTCATACCCTTTCTAATCTCTGTTGGCTGGCTGTAACACACTTGAATCTCTTTCAAACAGATCACTTATCTTTAAATTTCTCTTCAGAAATTTATATTTTTCCTGCTCTAGCTGTAAAGAGGAGACAAACAAACAGAAAGTCCTGGTTACCATAAAACAAAACCTGAAGTCAGTCCTGTGTTTGTGTGTTCATAGCTGCTTTCTGATTTCCACGGAGTGCCGGCCTGCTTCTCACAAAGGCCACTTTATCTCACTGTGCTAATGTCATCTGCACCCACTTGCAGTTCCAGTGCAGTGTCTGCAGGCATAGACAAAGGTCTTAGTATAGATAAGTATGTGAAAACTTGAAAAAGCAGGATGAAAGTTTGTTTCTGAGATGTAAAGTAGATCTTTTTAGCTCCTTTTCAAGGCTTTTTTTCATTCTGATTCATGTGATGATGCACACAATATGGATTTGTATCTACTGGCATCCTGAGGAGACTATTTATCATGCAACTGTTATTTAAGACTACTTATGGTTTACTGTTTCACTGATGATGTTTGTTAGCAGTAATACAAATGTTTCTTTTATCAGATGTTGGGGCAGTGCAGCCTCCTTTAACTAAGGGAGCTGCCCAACAGCAACCCTTCATATGATATGGGATCATGCGCTACACTGGGTGTTGCTAGTAAGCATCTAAAGGGAAAGATCCTCCTCTTTTTGCCCAGTAAACCCAAACCTGGAGGGGGGGCAGGGTGGAAAGGGCTGCAATATTGCACTCCAACTACAGTAAAATGTGTTTGGAAATGGGCTGCAATATGTTATTGAAAGACTGCTGGGAGCTGGTAAGTTGCTTTAATGTTACCATGCCAGCACTGCAATATGGGAATTGGAGAAACATGAGTAATGTCACTGGAATGCAGTGCTGCCACAGGGTTGTTTTGATGGGGTCTCATGATTAATGCTTTGATCTCTATCTAGAACTTCATTGGGAGTAGCAGGTTTTGGTCATGGGGTTGCGTGGCTGCATCTCTCGGGCAACCTCTTTCTCAGCAGCAGCCCCCTTCTGAGGTCTGGCTGGCAGCCTGACTCGTGTCTGGGGTGGAAATGTATTGTCTTGGTTGCCTGCTGGTCTCTCTTGGGGTGCAAAGGGGGAAAGGAAAAGGAACTGTTTATAACTGAAGGTCCATGTAGCTCTGCTTGCATCTGAGACATAGTACCAGTATAATATCCATCACACATGGGATCTGGCTAGAACTGGTCATTAAAGGACATTGCATGCTTCAGTGATTTCATTTCTGTGAAAAGAGCAGTGGATTATTCCACTGGGAATAGTTATATGGAATTTAAGTTTGAATATATTTCTTGGATCTAATTGTGCTTTATTATTTTTAAAAATATTTATGAAGTATTTAATAGCTTGGGGAGGAGTGGCTTGTCCACTTTTTTTGCTTTAAAACTGTGTGTAGGCCTCCTCTTTGCAGAAAAAACTATATTCCTTGAAGCAGGCCTCACCTTTTTCTCCAATGCTGTGGTGTCTAAAGAAAAATAAACGTGGAACTGAAAAGCATCTCTAGGAATATTTTAGGCTGCCTGTATCATAGAATCACAGAATGCTTTGGGTTGGAAGGGACCTTTAGAGGTCATCTAGCTCAACCCCCCTGCAGTGAGCAGGGACAGCTTTAACTAGATCAGGTTGCTGAGAGCCCCGTCCAACCTGACTTTGA